GAAACAAACCACTTTATTTTGCATTTTAGAACGCTGCGTGTCTGAAATCCCCCTGCTATATTTCTTAGAACAGCAGTGACTTTTACTTTGCGATAAAAAGGCAAACCTTATCTTGATGTTTTCAAACTGCAATATTTTTAATGTAGTTTTTTAAGAGCGTAATTGATAAGGCTTTCAAAGAATATTATAATAATGCATTCCTTTCATTATTTTCTTAAAAGTCACTTCTAGTACCTGTCCAACCATCTTCTACAATAATAGGTGAATTCATTGCACAAAACCGCATAGTGCAGAATTACCTGGGGACCCTTTTATGTTCTTTTATATTTCTCTAACGCCATTTTGCTGTTTCCATCACCCACCTCTGATGTTCTTGTCACTTACTGAACCGAACAAACTGCTCTCATACCTTCCTACTCTTACGCTCTCATTCGGAGTTCAAGCCTTTTGATTTCTTTTTCTTCTCGGTCTTTCTGTTTTTCCTCATTTCTAGAGCGTACGCCTGAACAGAATTAAGTGTATTAAATAAACATGGCTTGAAAGGGAAATGAGTTGCAAAACTAATTATCAGTACATACAAAGTAATAAATATGGAGATACCTTTAAGTACATCAAAGGTAACGAGGATGCTCTAAAGTGATGACAAGGCTGTCTACTAATACTGACACTTGCCCCTTTCTGGCATTCCCAACAATATTTAACTCGCGGGCATAATATGCTTCCATCTTTTAGGGCTTGGCTAGCAAGTTAAGCTTTGTCCATGCCAGGAAATTTGTCATTTCAACGTTTCCTCAAAAAGGTCTTTCAGTTACCTCGTAGAGAGGAAAGTTTTTCTTTACGATTTTCTCGGACATGCTCAAAACTGTATCAAGTTTCCTACAGCTTAGGCATAATATTGGTTCTTCCAAACATACCGGCTTTACTCTCCAACCTAAACAAAGAGTAATGGCTGACAAGGCCAGAGGTAGGCAAAAGTAAACTGACTGGCATAAAAACCCTAAAACCAACCCCAAACAAACCAAA